TCACATAATATCCCTTTCAGTTTCAATAGGACTATTTGCAATTTAAAATGCTCATTTCCCACGGATCATTTAAAAGCTTTAAGTTATGCATTTTTTATCAGTAATTAGCCTTTACTATAGCCTTTGAGACAGATCATTGTGTAGTTTATCAAGCAAGAAGATGAACAGGCTCAGATTTTAAACATCTAAAATTGGTAGTTCAGGGTGCATTTTTCTCTGAAAATGCCTTTCCTTTTATCCCTTTTATTTAGACATAAATTAGATTATTTTTAGTGGTAGTGGCTCTCTCTGCACAGAAGCAGAAACTGTTTTTTGTCTTGGCTGACTAATACATATGACTTGACTCTTGAGCTCTACCTGGTATATGTCAAGTACACCTATAAAGAGGTCTACGTGGTATTTGTGAATCCAGGGCTTCTTCTCCTGCCTTAGAAGAAGCCCTGAACTTAAATGAAAAGTGCTTCGAGCCTTGTCACTACCAGACACCCTTCTCAGAACTCACGTGTGCCACTCTGTGACAGGCCTGGAAGCAAGCAGAGCTGTGTGTGCAGCATTGTGCGGTCTCTACTTGTTTAACTTTTGCCGTCAGGAGCTAGGACACAGCGGGGGCTGGTGACCACACTCTCAGGAGTGGAACCGAAGATTGGCGTGGCACCAAGTAATGACACCAAGTCTGTCGAAGAATCTGCAAGTGTTTAACTGCCTGTACAGGGCACAGCATTTAAATCTTACATTGAGAGGACACCTATTATCTCTTGCCATGATCTTTTTGTTTTGTTTTTTTCCACCAGCTGTCAAAATCTCCAAGTGCCTTATGTCTGTATAATCCGATGGTTCTCTGGTTTCACACAGGCAGATGAGGGGGCTGGGGTGGGGCGGGGGGTTGTGCCTCTTTGTCTGCAGTAGTGTTTTTCCCAAATAACTTTATGTAAACCAAGTTTTATAAGATTACCTCATTTTAGTCTTAGTTATGCCTTTATTCTTTAAAGGAGTCCCTTTGCAATGTGGGCAGTTTTTGTAGCAATAATACATATCCTCTTCCAAAATAATTAAAAAATTTTGGTACAATAAACTTTCTTAAATGGAGCCATTCACTTGGGATCCCTGAAAACAAGTTCAGCACTTACTTTTGGCCTGAAGAGTTAATTCCTCTCTGGAGAGCTGGCTTCTGGAGCTGATGGGCTGAATTGCAGTTCTCAGCTCTGTGACCTGATGATACTCACTCTTCTCTACCTCCTTTCCTCTGTGGTAAATAGGATACTAGTGATAATTTCTTCATAGGGTTGTCATGGGGATTAAGTAAATAGTACATGTAAATGCCGGAATCACTGCCAGGACTGCGTATGGAAGGTGCTTAATAAATGTCTGTGTCAGTATGTGAATGCTTCAGAATAGTCTTTTGTTCCCTTGAAAAGGAGTGGGTGGTAGTGGGAAAGACTTAACCTGGTCAGAGAAGTTTTATTACTTCATTCATGGGAAGCTATCAAGGAAGTAATTTAATCTGGAAAGCATGATAAAAAACAAATTAGGAGAGTATAATGCCAATATTTTAGCTCAAGGTGGCCATAACAGAACCTCTAAGTCTTAGGGGCTTTATAAAGTGCAGACTTGTATTTTCCTTACGTGTTGGGCAGACCACTGTGGTCAGGTAGCAGCCCCTCTGAGCAGTTCCCTTCAATGTGAGGATTCAGGGATCCAAGCACATGCCATCCTTGGCTTTACCGTATTGGAGTTCTTCACTTCAGCTGTGCTGATGAGGGAGAGAGAAAGAGGGAGGCAGAGCAGGAGAGGGGGGAGGGGGAGAGAGAGAAGGAAAGGGAGAGAGGGAGAGAGAGAAGGAAAAAGTGGTAGGGAGAGGGAGGGAGAGAGAGACAGAGGGAAAATGAATGAATGAATTAGACTGGACATGAGCTGAGGATCTTATCAAGGATGGTAAGGGCCAAGCATGGAAGTGGCAGCACACCATTTCTGCTCCCATTCCATTGGCCAGAACTAGTCACATGGCTCCACCCTACCTGCTGGGGGTTCTGGGAAGTCAGTTCTCCCCTGGTGCCCTGTAATAAGAAGCAGGTCATCTGTGGCACAGCAGTTAACCATGTAACATATTTTATGCTAGTGGTGGATATTGTTTATTATTAATCTATGTATGTACTCCACTGTAAGCTATTTCTGAATTTCTGTATGATGCCAGGACCAGCAAAAGACTCAAGGGAATTTGCAATCATTATGTTTCTTTCTTATTTTAGAAATTTGTAGAAGTCAGGAAATCTACTGAGACATTTGCTTTTAAACATTTTATTGCTGTGTAGTTGGCCAATAAACAAGGACTTTCAGTGACAGTATCTTAACGGCCATCCCTGATAGGCAGGTTCCTGTCAATGAGATAGTTATGTGTTGTGTCCTGCTGGTGGTCAGCAAATGGCAAAAAGCTAAGAAGTTAATGATCCTGTTGTGATTGGAATTACATGGGACAGTCTAAGAATAGAGATTTTTTAAAAGACTGTCCTTTAATAAACACTGCTAATTATTGCAACTACAGTTTTTACTCAGCTCCGATGGGAGGAATGATGGCAGCTTTCTGTGTCTTATATCATCCAATGAAGTGGCTTAGTCCTGCAGGTCTGCTAATACTGTTTCACTTGAGCAGTTCTTTCAAATCATAATTGGCCTCTGTGCAGATCGAACAGCTTATTCATAAGAGCAAACCTGGGAGAGTTTATAGCTGTATTGACACACCTTGGGGCCACGCTTAACTAAGCTTCCAGGTTAATTATATATGTTACCTCTTGTAGTGTTTCATAGTTCTATAGACTGATTTCCAATCCCATTTCTTCTGCCAAGGTTCAGTTGTTTAACACAATTGGGAAGCAGTAGAATGTAATGATTGATCATGTGGTCTCCAGCATCAGTCTGAGTTTGGATCCCAACCCTGCCACCCAGTCACTGTGACTGTGGGCACTTTCATTGTCTGCTGTGGTTGCCTAGGTGTTTCTGGTAACAAATACCAGTCTGGGTGGCTTAAACCATAGAAACCTATTTTCTCACAGTTGAAGTCTGAGATCAAAGTGTTGGCTGGGCTGGCTTCTTCTAAGGCCTTTCTCCTTGGAGATGGCCATCATCCTGTCTTCATGTGGTCTTTCCTCTGTGCATGTCTGTGTCCAGATTTCCTCCTCTTAGAGGACACTAGTCATATTGGATTAGGGCCCTTCCTAATGGCCTCTCCAAATCCAGTCACGTTCTGAGGTAGGACTTCAACATAGGAATTTTGGAGAGATACAACTCAGCCGTAACAGGCACTTAGCTCTGACGGATCTGCAAAATGGGTTTATAAAAGTATTTTAAATGGTTGTTGTGAGTATTCGAAGCTATGATTGCTTAGCATACAAATTGCTTAGCATAATATCTGGTATATAGTGAGCACTTACTAAGTAGAAATATTTTTACTATAATTATACATCTTATTATGTGTAGTTGTGTTATCATCTCTCCCAACTGGGAGATGGTTGTATGCAGCACAGCCTTTCAATCACTGAAGCCCGGATGATTGTATTCTTTCTTGTGTCCCCGTGGCACTGGAACAGGCTGCCTTCAACAGAGCAGCAGGGCGGAAGCCCAGATGCTATGGCCAAGTGGATGGGTAAGGCTTTCGTGTGAGGGATTTTGGAGTGGCCTTCTTTGGCGGTCACTCTGGAGGTGTTAGGCACCACAGGTGGCTTGAAATGCTCTCAGATGTCTTGGTTCCTGTGATGGCCTGCCCAAGTGGCTTTACCAGACCTAGATAAGCACCTGGAGAAGAGCAGTCTGTCTATGCCAAGGGCAAGAGACTTTTCATACTGTCAGGGGAGTAGCCATAAAATTATACTGATTGAAAGAATTATCCAAGCACTGGAGATGCTCTTTAAAGAATGCAGCATGTGAAAGAGGGTAGCATCCCTGTGTTGATAGCTCTGTCAAACAGCTCTAGACTGATGAGCATTGGTGGAATTCTGCATGTTGATATTATGGTAAGTTATCTCAGGCCCAAATAAGTGCCTATTATTTAAATTCCTGGCATTTGTTTTTCAACTGGCATACATGTTTCTTCTTTTAAAAAAGTGCTGCTACTGTCACAAGGTGGTCATAGGTTGTGTTAACTGTCAGCAAGCGTGGTTCTCACTAGGGTCAGAGAAGGAAGGTCAGACCACATGGGCATTGATGGAGCTCCCTGTCCCAGGAAGACAACATGCCCATCGATCAGAGAAGCTTTGGATATGGTGGAGGATTCTCACGGTGCCTTGGTGGCAGTTGAGTTCTGCAGCCACACTGTGCAGAGTTCAAACTAGATTCACTCAGTACATCAGCTCCTAAACTTGGGCCAGTGGCACTGCTAGCCAGCTGCTCAGCCTTATCAATTTTTCTTTTGAAATGACCATGAAATATTTGTCTTTTAATAAAAGTTAATAAATAATGAGTATAAGGATTGTTACATATAAATATATATATAAACATGAATTTATATGAAGTGATTTTAGCTGACCATAAAATAATAGGTATGTGTGCTCTTATGATCATAAAGTCTGAAATACACCCTTATTAGGAATTGGTGGAACATGGAATTAAGTAATTGTTTTAGCGTTACCTAACTTTTTCCCTTTAAGTCTGTTTACCTTTCTATTATAGAAAACCCAGCAGTGACTGAAAAAAATGTCTTCGTGTACATTTCCACTGCACCACAGACCTCCATCTTTTAAAATACTAAATCATCACATGGTACAACCTAAATCTTTACAACTTTTGCTAGTCATACCTCAGTAAAGCTGGAAAAACAATACGGTTGCTGTTCCATTGTAAAAAATATGAAGAATAATGTAGCAACATCTCTGACATTCCCACCCCCCGGCCCCCACTAGGTCCTTCTGTTACTGCTGTTTTTTTCTTCTTTGGTTTCTTTTGTAAAAGTATTCTGAAAATTTGCCTTTTTGTTTTTCACATGGTTTAATTTCTTTTTTTTTTTTTTGAAGGAAAGAGCAAGTTAGTACCTTGTATCAAAACATCAGCCTTGTGGAGCCAAGACTGATTCAGCCATATGAACATGTTATAAAGAACTTCATCCGTGAGATCAAGCTTCAAAGCACAGAAATGGAAAACCTGGCCATTGCAGTGAAGAGGTATTGAAGTCCTTCCTTTCTAAGTGGCACATGGGGACCTTGAACTTGCTCTTTGATTGGGGGGTCACATGGACTGAGCTGCATTATCCCAATATGACAAGGGAGGACTTCCTGATCCCTGGGCATCTGGAGCTTTCTGAACTGAGACAGAATGAGGGAAGTTGAGTCAGGCAGTACTTCATAGGGTCAGTCAGCAATCCATCAGCAGGTCTCCATGATCCTGTCATAGAAACTCTTACAGGCCATGGTTCCATACAGAGCACCTCAAAGAGATTTGGTATCTTCTATGGAGCCACTTGAAATATGTGGGAAACTTCTTCCAGAGAGGCAGGCCGGGCTCCATTTGAAGCCTGGCCTTGTGACTGATGGGCATGTGACTTTGGACAGGTTACTTAATTTCCCTGGGCCTCAGATTCCGCAGCTGCAAAATGAGGCTGTACGTATTCACCTCCTCAGGGGTGGAGACATAGGTGCCATCGTGGGTGATGCCCCTCACACTGGGCCTCCCACGTGGTGGGTGGTCTGAAATGCTTTTCTTTTCCTCTTTCTCTGGCTCTCCTCACCCAGCCTGACTGAAAGCCTAAAAGCTGCTGCTCTTACTGTCCTGCAGCCAGTTTGTGCAAGGCATAGCAAGCTTCTACAGGATAGCTTACTGGTTTTAACAGCAACCCAGTGCAAAAGAAGAATTACGTGTGTTGCAATCCAAGTATCAGCCTCTTTGCCTCCTGCGAGGACCACACTCCCTTGGCATATGCTGGGAAAGGGGGCATTTTGTGTGTCCCAGTTCTTCCACAGAGGCCTCTCGCTGCTGTGCATGCAGCTCAGGGCGTGCTGCCTGCCTCGCTGGTCTCTGCCCAGAACTTGGGAACAGCCCCTCCGGTAGGATGCCCCCACTGCCGTGGGGCAGGCACAGGCTACTCCTCTGTCTCTGTTCTTCCCTTCAACATGGCGATGAAACTGTAGGGTAGACCCTTTGAAGTAACTGAAGTGAATTAAAATGTACAAGAGAAAATTTTTAAAATGCTACTTTTATAGTCCTGGAGTCATGCAAGAGTTGAACTGTTCACAGGGGATTTCTTATGATCATGTTCACTTCCTGGCCTTGATCAAGTTTGCCTGCCAGGGGCTTTCCACAGTCTGGTCTGCAGAGCTCTGAATTCTGGAGGGCACTGTGGAGTGCTGGTCCGAGCCCCGGATTGGCTGCCTTTGAGAGGCAACTGGCAGACGCACATAGTGAGTTTTTAGTGTGTCCAGTGAATGAATATCTGTTAAAATAGACTCTCATACACACACACAGGTGCACATACACAGACCCACACAAAGATATGCGGGACACACTCAGACAAACACATTCACCCCCCCTACATACATGCACACCTGATCACTAAGGATAGTACCATGTAAACCCATTAGGGCGAAGAAGAAAGGCATTCTTTATGTTCTCATTGTCAGCTAGGCTGCTGTCCAGCTGTGGAGGTTGTCACATTATGTTGAGCTCCATTGGTGCTTCTCTCCTGTCCCCTCTGTGCTCTGTGGGTGGGATCCAAAGGCAGGCTGTGTCCCGAGCTCTGGGCCTCATAGAGGCCCCTCTCCCAGCTCTCAGGGTCCACACTGACGCATTTATGTGACCACTGTGAACATTTCCTCACATTCCTAGCTCATAACCCTTCATCATCACCTCTATTTTTTGGTTGGGGGAGGGCCTCAGTCTTCTGCACTTGTACTTGAAGAGTGGGTTTCCAGTGTCCCGATAGGGGCCCTGGACTGCGATAAAGCAGACATTCCCAATACCCTAGACATTTTTCTAGGAATTAGGAACTGCTGAGGCAAACACTGTTGTTATAGACTAACCAACCAAAAATATAAGACTTGCTCAGAAGTGAGAAAAGCAGAAGGATCACATTCAGAAGCAGTCCCAGGTGCTCAGCTGTTTGGGACTGGATGTCCAAAAGGAAGGGCTGGAAAAGCTGGTTATAGCAAAGGGAGAAGCAGGTAAGTGGCATAGCTCTTCACAGTTCCAGAGTTCACTAAAAACAAGCAAATCCCCAAACCAAAGTTGCTATGGAGAATACATAATTCCTAAGGTTTAAATAGCAAGTATTTATAAACAGAGCAGAACTAGCTGACTTTCCACAGGAGGTTAACATAACCTTGGGCAGGCCATAAGGAGAGGAGGGAGTAAACAGGAGCAGAAAATAATAGTTAGTCTCTCAAAATTTTATTTTGGGGTCTTCCCCCCACCCCTTGATGCTTGTTTGGAACTTTAAGTAGAAATTAAACTAACGCACCAACAAATTGTGTTCCAAGTTGAAAGCAGGGAGGATGGGTTAGCAGGAGCCATCAAACTGGAAGATGGAAGTCTTCTCCTGAGGTCCCATTCCCTACTTTTTATTAATGGTATGTTCTTGATCCACATGAACTAACTCTCTAAATCTCAGGCTGGCTGCTTTCAAGTCACTTATAGTCTAGTTGAGTAGGCAAGACAGACGCATGTGAAAATGTAGATAATTGGACATATAGCTGAGAGAGAACAGAAGACACATTTTTTAGGGCTTAATATGGAGCCTCAACCACTGTAAAATGACAGATGTCTCCATACTAGGCAGTTGCTAAGTAAAACTATCCTGGAATGCTTCTCAACAAATTTTTCTCCTTTCTAACTTTTTTGCAAATTGGTATGTTCTGCCTTCAAAAAATGTGATCCATTGATTACATTAAAAAAGAAACAATTTTTCTAAAGGGTAACTGTATCTATATTTATCATATTAAGGAATGTAATAATTGCTGAGATCCCTTCTTTTTTTCCTTCTAACTGTAGCATAGACCATTGTGTTTCATATAATTTCAAAATTATATCTAACCATCTCTTTGCCTTGGAGTTTTGTTCTTTATTTCCCCACGGTTGTAGCTCAGTCACAAGAACAAAAAGGATTTTCAGAATTTATTGACAGCCTGCCAGTAATTTGGCATTTTTGTCAGTCCTTTGCCACATTCTAGTTTAATGCCACTTTATCCAATCTATTCCATTTATTCAATAGCAAGTTTTAATATCCTCTTATACCCAAATGGTCAAATTGCTAATTTCATTTTATTACGTGGAAGGCACAGCAATTATTATTTGAAATGTTGTGTTTCTCCTCATTTGTAAAATAAAGGGCTTGTGAAATAGATTAGGTCCAAGTTTTCATGTTACAGGTTCAAGGGTGTAATGAAAAGGTGTGCATCCTGTTGACTTGCAGAGCCCAGGACAAGGCAGCCATGCAGCTGAGTGAGCTGGAAGAGGAGATGGACCAGAGGATTCAGGCCGCAGAACACAAGACGCGGAAGGATGTGAGTGTGTGGGGTTCCTTCATTCACTGAGTCCTTCCGGAGCACCTTTTAGGGACTGGGCACCGGGCGTCCTCTCGGTGCAGCAAGTGCAGGCTCCAGATGATGGGGACAGTTTTTGGTGGTAGATAAAGAGAGAGGGGGAGAATGAATAAACAATCAAATAAAGCAGATAATTTCAAAGGTGACAAGTGCAGTTAAGAAACAGTGTGTGTGACAGACAGCGACAGGGACAGGAGGCTGTTCCGGGAGGTCCCGGGCCACTTCAGGGAGGTGGAGTGAGGCCCGAGGGAGAAGGCGGAGCCAGCCTCTGGAGGGCGGGGTGGCTCTGGTGCTGTGCTCCACTGACTTACTGCCCACGCGTACCGCCCGCCAGCTTTATAGCTCGATTACAGCAAAATTAAAGTTCTCTCGGCAAACTTCAGTGTTTTATAATGGAATATAAATTATAATGGAAGATGTAAAAGTATATCCTATATACTTTATTCAAAAGTATATCCTGTATATTTTTATTCATTATAGGAACTCTTAGGGTTGAAAGTTGGATGCTGCCTTCAGTTATTTCCATAGAAGAAATAATTATGTTTTTTTTTAAATAAAATATATCTGGGTGATTAATGTTCACTGGAAACAGAAAATAAACATATTTCTTTGAGTAGCTAGTGTTAGCTTACATTTTTTTTGGAAAAACATTTCATTTTTTTCCCTGTTCATTTGTTCTGTTAACTGAGAGGCATCTATATACCTTAGTTTGCTTCCTGGCTCTGTCCTGTCTATGTTATAGATGGTGCTGGAAAAAGTCATCTGACCTCTGAGCCTTTGTTGTTCCATCTTTAGAATGGGTTTCAAGCCCAGAAGTGGCTGGATAGCTACAGTTATATGGTTACTTCCACCCTCCCTGTGTAGGAGACTCGGGAACAGCCTTCGTTTGACTTAAAACACTTCTCCTTTATGGGGCCTTGATGAACCTATTTAAATCAATAAAACCTTTTTTTTTTCTTTTAGGAAAAACGCAAAGCTGAGGAAGCCCTCAGTGACCTCAGACGTCAGTATGAAACAGAAGTAGGGGATCTACAGGTGACGATAAAGAAACTGAAAAAGGTAGGTATGTGGCAGCTAGACTTTGAGGAATAGCTTCAGGATACCGGTGTATCTGAGTAAGACCATTGGAATCACATTGAAGCAGCAGATGGAATCAGATCTGAGTAGCAGGACTTTTTTTTTTGAGGCTCCTTGTTTCCTTTTCTGTTTCCAAAGGCACCTGTCGTCTGCACAGATCTAATAAACACAGTTGTCCGTCAAACCAGTGTTCTTTCCTTAGTCTTCACCAACCAAGTGCCCTCAGTACCCACGTGTCCAGTGGACTGTGTGCCCATGACAGTGGGGGTGCTGTGTTTCCTGGTCACCCGTCCCTGTGTATCTGCCCCTTGCGTACTTCAAGATACATGGTAGGGATTCAGTGAATATTGATTAAGTGAAGTGAATATTCCCCTTCTGTGTTCAAAGTTTCAGACGTAGGCAGAAGTGGGAGAGAACTTGTTGAAGTGTGAGCAGAGGTGTGATTGGGGTTTGACCTTTGCTCTGTTTGGTCCTAATGAGTAGGAGTGTTTCACTCTGTGGCCTGCTGCTAGATGTTTAACAACTGGCTCTGGCTGAGGTAGAGATTTGTAGCATTTGCCAATTTCCGTGGTGTAAATACCCCCACCATTACCGATTTCAAGCTACCAAGCTGGCATGGCTGAATGCCCCGTTTGGGAAGAGATGCTGAAAATAGGCTCTTGGCTGGGGGCACAGACTGACGCTAGCTCAGTACTGGGGCCGTTTCTTCCATGTGGATTGTCTCCATAATGCATGGAAACATCTTGACTAACATGAAAAAGAATACTTAAAAAATAATCATCCCTGAAAGTGGCATTATGAATTTGGGGACATCACTTTGCTTCCCTGGTTGTTCTTGCAATCAAACCGTTAACACTCCTTCCAGTGGTGTTAATATACAGTGAGATGAAGTGATGATTAACTGTGTTTTGTGGGCTATTGTGATTTAAACACCTGGAATTATTAAGAATTCTCATAGTATTCTTGGAAAATTATTATCAATGTTAACCTTTTATCTAATTTCCGGAGGTCATTAGACTATACATAGGATGCTTGTATTACAGAATTTGAATGGACCAGCCCCTTATTTAGGCCAGAGTCACAGATGATCCTAGTCATTGTCCTCACTTATTTCCATGCCTCTCCCAATCTTTAAGAGAACGTGTGCAAGAAGAGACACAGAGATTTTTCACCCCGATACAGTGTATGATGAAGACCAGATGGGCACTGGACAGTGAGAGTCAGGAGCATGAGCCCTGAGTCCGTACGGAGGCTGCCAGTTTCTGTCTGTAACACCTTGTACAGCTGGCTTCGTCTTTTTGATCTTTAGCTTCTCATCTGTAACATGTGACTAATAATATAGTCTCCTGTCTAACCATAGTAAGATATTTTATTGACTTTACAGTGTATTAAGCACTGTAAAGTACACTTTTAAAAATAATTAAAATCTAAATCTCAAACATTTTTAAAAAGCAGGTATAAATATCCTACTTTTACAAATGAAGACACCAAGTTCCACAAAGGTTAAATAACTTAAAGTCACACAGCAAATAAGCAATGGAGTCATCTTCACCACACAGTTGGTGCTTCTTCATTTGTAGCAGGCTTTCTTCTTGCTGAATAGGGTGGTTCTTCAAGAAGACAAGAAATGATTTATGTGAGAGCATGTTAAAGGCTGTAAAGAACTATAGAAAAGTTTACAACGTTGTTATAATTGCCATTACTTTCTGCCATTGATTCTGAAAACTCATTTTGCCAACAGTTTTTATTCCCTGAAATTGGCCTGCATCTTAAGGTCCATGGCTGTCTTCGGTCACTGTCAGCTATGTGCAGTTAGACATAGTTGTGTGAAAACCTTCAGCAGAAGCCATCTGGAAGATGAAGAAAGTCCAGTGTCAGAGTACTTAGACTTAATGAAATAAGGCATACGTTTTGATCCATGTATACGTATTCAATTAATGGACACCCACAAATCCTCACATTTTCCACAGGGTGTAATCTCTTTGTAGGGAAGGCATTTTTGTTGTCCATGTTATCGATGCTCCGGAGCCAGTTGAGCCTGAAAATACTAATGAGTCCATCAGTAAGCAGAGCTCATGTACATATTGACACAGTGTTGTGTGCACATGTCTCTACCTTCACAACATACTTACATTTTATTGATTTCAGTCATTTAATAAGAGTTTCTTGAAATCACTGTGAAGAAAACATAGGTGGAAGTGACACTAACTTTGTTTTTGAAAATCTTAGACTCAAGTAAGGACAGGTAGAACATTTACAAATAATCACAATACAGGACAGAAAGTGTGAAGTGCAGGTAAAGTTCTAGGTGAATATAGAGGTCCAGACTCGTATGCAGTGTGATTAGAAAAGGAGGATTGGGTTGCTTAATAGTTGAATAGTCCCCATAAAGGGCTTTCACATTGTTTCATAGAAAACTTATTGAACTATAAAACTCCTTTTTCAAACGTTTAAATTATTTAGAGCAAAATTTTAAATGCTTGTGAATTATGTGTGCTTGAATGATGTAAAAAGTTGTATGATGTTGAAAACTGAAGACTTCTAGAATTCCCATTTCTGTATGTAAGGGTATTCCAAACTTTAACTCAATAAATTCTAAGTCTATAAACACACAACTTTTATTTGCTCTTTCAGCTAGAAGAACAGTCAAAACATGTAAGTCAAAAAGAAGATGTGGCTGCATTAAAGAAACAAATTTATGATTTATCAATGGTAAGAATCACGTCTTCACTTACAGAAATGCATTTCCTGTTAGACTACTGTTTTCTGAACATAATCATGCTATTATTTCAGTGTTCCAGGAATAGAAGCTTAAAGAGAAATTAATACTATAGTCAGAGAAAGTCTTTGAAATACCTCAACCAAAGGTGTTATTTATGCAGGCTTTTCCCCTCAGTGATACCCTACCTGTTGTGAACACTTACATTTATTTTTTATTCCCAGCAATAATGACATGGTCTTAAACTTTCAAGGGTTAACCTTGCATTCTTATAGCATCCACTCTGATCTGTGTCCCTGGTGCAGTAACGCCCTGCCCTTCCTCCAACTTTCCTCCTTCTGTTTCTTTTCTGTCTTCTGCTGACCATATCTTTCGTCTTTCTATTGCCAATACTGATAACATTTATATCTGTTTTATTATCATTAAAACTTTATTTTGTTTTTAGGTTAACTCTAAAGGCCAATAATGAGCATTTCTTTTATTCTCACTGCAGAGCCAAGAAGTGAGATAGCATGAACTAGAATTGCATTCCTTTCTCTCTAGCCATGAGCCCTGTGCCACTCAAAAGGGGTTCCCAGCCTCACAGTCAAGAGAACCCTCTTAATGCACCACCAGCTCCATGTTTTGCCACATCTTAGCTGGCTGTGTACTTAGATCATGACTTTCTTACAGAGTTGCTTGTTTTTCTTGGATTTCCTGGTTGAGGTTTTGGTTTCTTGTTGTGAAAAACAAACCAGACCAAAACAAAACAACCTATTCTATCTTTACAATATCACTGATGGCTTGTAACTTCCTGTTTCTTCTTCCTAATGAGGGAATTTCTTTTTCCCTCCTTAAAAATGTTAATTTTGGAGTCCACGAAGTTTCAGTTCTTGCTGGACTGATTGTGTCCTTTTGGACTTTCTGATTGTTCTAGGTAGCTGGTGTAGGAGTCCTGTGCAGCTAGCTAAATAGATCTGTGTGCCTCAAGACCTCTGCCCTGAAAAGGGTCTTCCCAGGAGCTGTGTGTGTGTGCTGGCTGTGAGACTGGGGGAACTTCAATTCCCAGAATGTGTGGGACATGGATGCTTTATTCAGATGCTGTAAGCATCTCTCTGGACATACTCAGAGAGATGCTTTAGCTTTCCTTGTAGGGGCCATACAGTTATTTTGTTAAAAAAAAAAAAAAAAAAAGCCCTGTCTTCTGCCTTTGGAATCAATTCTGGCTAGCTACTGTTCTTTCCTAGGGGAAGAGCAGGCACAGGCTTGAGGGGCGGGGTTAATATATAAATTTAATCTCTGTTTTCAGCTCCACCCTCACTCTCTGGGCTTTTGCCTGGCCAACTGCTGCTTCTTTATTCAAAAGCAGAATATTCCAGACCAACTTCTGGACCTCCTTTTCCTCTGCTCTCTGTCTTTCATCAGTACATTTCTGTCCAGTTTCCATTTCTCAGAAACGTTTAAGTCACTTCACTGCAGATGGGCCCTTCTCCCATTCTTCTTTTATTGGTTTATTTCCTTTGGTATTTCATGTTAACAGGGTCTCAAAAGGGAAGGAAGGAAGGCAGACAAATTCATGTGCTTAGTTTACCATTTTGAGCTGGAAGCTGCCAATGAATTGTTTTTAGAAAAAGTTCTTGGGTAAATTCTTCAAATCTTAAAAATTCTTTTTTTAAAAAAAATTTATTTATTTTATTTATTTTATTTTTAGAGACGGAAGGGAGGGAGAAAGAGAGAGAGAAACATCAATGTGCGGTTGCTGGGGGCCATGGCCTGCAACCCAGGCATGTGCCCCGACTAGGAATCGAACCTGTGATGCTTTGGTTCGCAGCCCATGCTCAATCCACTGAGCTATGCCAGCCAGGGCAAATTTTAAAAATTCTTAAAAAAAATTCCTAGAAAATTCTAGCTCATTTGGAACTGTCAAAAAACTTAGAAAAATTTTAACTACATTGGTTTATTCTTGGGTGCAAAACTTGAACATATTTGGTGATAGGATTTATTGTAAAAAAGTAGCCAGTCTCCATGGTCATAGGTACCATTAATTCCATAGAATTTTTGTCAGTAGTTTCATAATTCTCAAATAAAACAGAGGTTTCAATGTTTGGTTCCAGTAAATTTGTCAATAGCATGCCAAACTACTAATGACAAACTCTTGAGTGCTGGAGTTCGGCACCAAATGACTAGTATTTTTTTTAAAAAATAACAACTTTGAATGTTTAGAGTATTGACACTTTAATACGTTATAGTAATTTCAAATTACCCTGAGTTGATAATGTTTTGAATACCAAGATACAAAGAACTGTGGCTGGGTGAGAGTGATGTGTGGGAAGGTTACATCCGCTGCACTTCCTTTGTCCCAGGTGAACTGAATCTAATGACCTGCACCACTCCTTTTCTCTAGGAAAATCAGAAGGTTAAGAAAGATCTTTTAGAAGCACAGACGAATGTAGCCTTTCTTCAGAGTGAATTAGATGCATTGAAAAGTGATTATGCTGATCAGAGTCTGAATTCTGAAAGGTATGAAACTTCACATTTGTTTTTTTTTTAGTTTGAGTGGAATGTTTATTTAGATAACCATCCTGGGGATGAACTTCAGCTATATGATAATAAAGGCTTATTTGTTAACTTTGCTGATATATTCTTTGCTTTCTAAAGACTTTACTTTCAGTGTCAGCTTTGCTAGTAATTTTGGGGATTTTAGGGTTTTTTATACAAACAGATGAATTAGTTTAATTATTGACTGGGTAGGACATTGCAGGGCTTAATAAATGTTTGAATTAACTGGGAGCAGAAGAATATATCTCACATGTCAAGAGTCAGTGCTAATTAAAGGGCTTTGAAGGTGGGAATATTGGCCCTTCAACATAAGCAAAGTGAAAAGTAGGCATCTTAGACAAGTAATTTTATTTTGTTCTGCTTTAGTTTTGCAGTATGGTATTAACAACCGAAGACCTAACACACATACACAGAGGCAGGTGTTCATTACACACACAGGCACGCATTTACGTATATGAAAATGCATATGTATGTAATTATAAATACACATACGAGGTCTGTCCAGAAAAAATCCAACTATTGTTAACATAACGAGAATGGTTTGCATGACACCGAGGTACCCTGGCAGCCAAGGAGAGTGGACTGGAATGCACATGGGTGAACAGTGATGTACTCCTCAGTGGGGGTGGTAGACACCATTGGGTGAGCCTGTGTGCTGTGTGGCTGTCACATTCAAAATGACTGAAAAAGTAGAGCAATGAATCTGCATCAAATTTTGTGTGAAGCTTGAACATTCCTCTGAGGAAACTATTTGGATGATTCAGAAGGATGTAGCTATGGGTAACTGGTGATTGGCAGCTTTATCATGACAGTAAGCCCACCCATGCATCACATCTCTTGTAGAGTGTTTTTGTGAAACATCAAATCACCCAGATGACTCAGGCCCTCTACAGACCACATTTGGCTCCCTGTGACTTCTGGCTTTTCCCAAACCTAAAATCACCTTTGAAAGGGAAAAGATGTCAGACCATTGATGAGATTCAGGAAAATATGATGGGGCAGCTGATGGCGATTTGGGAGAATTGTGTGAGGTCCCAAGATCCCTGTGCTGAAGGGGACTGAGGTGTCATTGTCCTGTGTACAATGTTTCTTGTATCCTGTAACTTCTTCAGTAAGTGTCTGTATTTTTAATAGTACATGGCTGGATACCTTCTGGACAGACCTTGTATATGTATACACATATTTGCATATAAATGCATCAATATGCATAAATGTATAATACACACATATATGTACACTTAGGAAAATATCGTGTTTTTTGTTTGTTTGTTGGCAAACTTTAATCAGAATCAAGGTCCTATAATGGAAGGCAGTGAAACATTTATTATTTGCCATGTACCTGTCCTTGAGCTAAATGAGTTTTGAGTGTGTAGTGTATAAAAAAGAAAAGTTGTGGTCTCTGCTCTTTGAGAACTTCAGATTTAGTTGAGGAAGATAAAAAGCTAAAGGATTGCAGAGTTGACATAAAAGCTGAACAGTGTCAGAAACAATGCTACCAGCCGTGTCACAGGCAGGCTTCAATGCCATGTGATGCTCTTTTAGTTCAGAAGAGGTGAAGAACTGTGCTAAAGAGGAAACACTTAAGGGGACTTGGGAGGGGGAATGGGCTTGCGTTGGTCGGGGGAGCAGAGGCAACATCAGCAAGTAATGCAGGTGTCATCAGCCAGGCATTGCCCTTAGTACTTTACTACTATTAACTCCTTCAGTCCACAGAATATCCTATAAGATAGGGACTTTCCTTATCCCCATTTCACAGATGGGAGGAGAAAGTCCAGAGCTGTTCCGGGTGAGGCAATAATCAACTCAGTTTCAAGAACACAGGCACAGATGAGACTGTTCTGGGGAAGAGTGGTTATGCCATTGGACAGAAAAAAAGATATTTTGAATGGAAAGATAAAAGCTAAAAAATTAAAATGTTTAAAAGATAGCTTAACACTAGACTGTAAGGGCCCCTGCTTTTGTGTGAGGGAACTTAAATTTCCGAAGACAGTTGGGGAACTTTTAGCCTTATTAAGAGATAGAATGGGCAGGCTATTGTGGACAAAATTTGATATCTTGAGAGTTTTGGAAGCTAGTGATGGGGGTTGTCTGCTTAGAAATGGGTCTACATGAGATACAGGCTGGAGATGAGTGACTAATGTTCAGAGTGGACTTTTTGAGAATGAGGCCAGGGCTTCATAATAAAGCCACAGAGGAATCAGTGTGCAAAAGTTTATAGTGAATGGGGAAACCCCAGTCCTGTGGACTCCTCCATGGTTCAGGGCAAGGAGTGGAGGGAGAGCAGGAGTACGGGCAAGGCAAGGAGAGGAGAAGGTATCAGGAGAAAGGAGAAAATAGCTGGGGTTGGGATGGTGTGAGGCTTGGAATGAGCAGAGAAAGGTTTCAAGTGAGAGAGTGAATTGGGGAGGGGAAGCTTAGCTATGAAGGTCAGTGGTTCATTCCCAGTGAGGACCAGAGCCAGGTCAGTGAGGTGTGGATGGAAGGGCCGGTGGGTGCCGAGTGGGCAGTGAGGTGGGGCAGCACATTGCACGGGAAGCAGAGGTTGTGGGTGTGTTTGTGGAGTCCTAGGAGGAGAGGAGGCTGCAGACAGCACAGAGGAACCCAGTGGGAGCACAGATGCGTAGAGACTGGTGAAGGACGCGCGTCTTTGAAAAGGTGACAGAAGAGTCTGAGCGGGCAGTTCGGGTAAGGCAGGACGGAACACCTAATTTTCATTCAAACATAAAGTATAATTAATTTTACAGGGATCTGGAAATAATCCGAGAGTACACGGAAGATCGAAATAGTCTTGAGAGGCAAATTGAAATACTCCAGTAAGTTCTCATATAAAATGCTTGTTCCATCTCCATTTTACTTATTTTTTGTGAATAAAGTATGTGCCGCCCGTAACACAAGATGCTGCATTCCGAAGACTGGGTTCCCGCGTCCACGCCTGCATCTCCCAGCTGTGCTGCATTTAGCACACCCACTTGCTGTCTAATCCTAAATAAACTATACAAATGCAGGCACTCGAGTATAATTCTCTAAAAGTCCTTGCAAGTCAGCTGATATGTCTAGTGTGTCTTTGTTATACTTCTGTAGAGAATAGTGGCCCTGACCTGCACGGCTTTCTCTGCAGCCCCACCGAGAGGCTGTCAGCATCTCGCGGTGGTGCATGTCACAGCACCAGGCGTACACGGCCGTTCCCTCACAATCTATTGTGCTTGGTTAGAGGTATATTTTTCTTATATTATACCTGCTCTGTCAACTTCACAGCTGAGTTGCAGTAATTCCTGCTTCTGAGGCCCTTCTGCACAGAACCTCCCCTCTCTCTCCCTTTCTCTCTTTTCTACCCGACAGTATTTTCTGCTGTTTTCACCTCCTGCAAATGAAGTAAGATCAGGCTTGACAAATTTTTTCACCATCTATGAGTGGTTATCAGGTCTCACCTGTGGTAATTACAGAGTTGATGTATTACCATAATCCCATTCATTTATTCATTTGTTCAGCAGGTTTTCATTCACCACCTTTATGGGTCAGGTATGCCAAGAGCTGAGGATAGGGTGGCGAGTAGGAGGAAAAATGTCTTTCTTAGTGGGGCTAGTCTAGGGAAGAAGACAGAAACTGATCAATAATTGCAGAAATATAAAGTGTCGAATGGGAGAGTTGGGACAAAGAGAAGTATCTTCCCAAGGGCATACTGCAGTCAACTTTGACCTAACCAGGAAGGTCCAGGGAGTGTTCCCAGTGGAGGCACCGAGTGAACTGAGGTCCGAAGGATGAATAAGCCTTCAGCAGGAAAAGATTAGCTGCCTCCATTGCAGAGGCTGTTATTATCCTCATCTCATAGAAGAGGTTGCTGAGGCTCTGCCAGGTTAAATAACTCCTGTCAGTCATGTGGAAAGGGCACACCCGAGTTGAGATTTGAACCCATAGTCAACATCCAAGCCTTTAGCAGGTACATGGCAGTGCCCGGTGCCACTGAAGCAGGCCAGGAGTGGGATGTGAGAGTAGCCAGAAAAAAGTGCGGTATAACACACCACACCTACAGCCAGGCTGTGTGCAGAGGGATAGAGGGTGGCTCGCGGCTGCAGCCTGCTCCAGGCGCTTAGAGAGTGGGGACCTACATGAAAGCTGTTCAAACAGCAGAGCTACCTGAGGGAAGAGAGGTTTCACAGAGCAGCTGATACCTTCCTAAAAATGCCCTGAGATCTTTAAACAGAGGTGACACATCCATTAAGTTGTACATTTAGTAATGAATTATGATCTCAGTTTGGGAGGTGTGAAGGGAAGAGGTAGCAAGTTTCGAGAGGTGGTAATCCCACATCCTGAACATCACAGCCTGAAAAGTAAGTGCTGCCATTTACCCCCACTAATACTTCTCAGTGTGGATTTATCTCTTTTATTTACTCTGTAGAACAGCCAACCGGAAGCTGCACGACAGTAATGACGGCCTAAGGAGTGCCCTGGAAAGCACTTACAGCAAGTTCAACAGATCCTTGGTATGCTGTAGAATTTTCCAGTACCCGTTGTTCTGTCTGGTGATAGACTATTTTGATAAAAATCTTGTATTTAATTAGGGAAGAACTTACCATCATGAGAAGCTATTCCATATAATAATAGGGGAAGCATTTTTCCCAAATAAAAAAATATGCTACCCCTCTGAGGAAATAAATGCCTGGAGGTTAACCAGCTCTTTGTTGGATGGTCTAGGAAACCAGAGAAAGGTGCATAAAAAGTGTGACCTGGGTCCTGGCAGACTTTGTATAGTAGTGAGGTAAGATATGCACAGGTGGCAGTGACATCAGAAAAAGCGGGCTGTCCCGCGGAGGTGCAAATGAAATACTGCCCAGTTGAGAGGAGGGAGAGGGCGCCTCTGGCTGAGGAGTGTGTTTACATGCCTTGAGCATTCTTTAGTGAGACGTAGTGAGACGATCAGAGTGGAGGCCTTGGATTTTAAACCCTCCCACAGAAACCAGCTAAGCCCCATTTAGAATTTTGAGGACCTTCACCAGACTGTGCGCCAGAAAGCCTCATCGCCCCCTGTGGGAGGTCAGCTTCACGTTTGAGGTCCCAGTGCCATTGCCTTGGATAGGGAAGGGTCACTCCCTGAGCCAAGTTGTGGTTTGAGAGGAGGCAGATCACCAGAGGTTGGTGTTGCACGGTCCTGGCAGATCTAGGGAACCGGGTGCCCCTGTATGGCTCACATGGTGGGGTTTAGACTGACAACACGAGGAGGAGAAAGAACCAAATGTGGTTGCTGCGTGTTTTCCCCTTGATTTCTGTGCTCACGTTTGATCATGTAGGACACCAAAGGTTTCATTGCATTAGAGGTTAACTAGTGTGCTACAGTTTAGATCACATATATGAATAAAATGTTTATGTGGAGTAACAAACCATTACTTATGTGTTACAGCGCATAAATAATACGTCACCAGGGAATACAATTTCTAGGAGCAGTCCCAAATTTAATGGTCATTCTCCTCAGCCTCCGGGCTATGACAGGTATGTGACTTACGTTTTGTTTGAGTTCTAGATCAAAGTTGAAAGGAAAGTAAATTTCCTTAGGGGTATATTAAAATAATAGAGTCTATTTCAGGCACTGATTTCTACTTCTACTCCTACTTTACATTTTTGAAACATGAGATAGGTAAAGATTAAAGTGAACACATTGCAGGAAGGCCTAAGTGATTTCCTTAAGCTGTTGTCATGACTTGCTTTTATGTATGTTCACCTTTACCTTGTCCCTGATCGTGTCTGGTTTCACCGAGGTAGAGTCAGTAAGTGGAGTTTCAGGGAAACCAGTTGGTGTTATGATATATGTGGTGTATGATGTTGAGACTCTTGGCAAATGTTTAGTAGCTCAGCATAATATTATGTCAGCTATGTTCAAGGGAAAGGAAACGTTCAAAACAAGTAGCAATAGAGCTAGTGTTTACAAGCTCCTGTATTAAGTCACGGAGGCTTACCAGAAGTGAAAATTTCGTTCTATTTTTAATTAAATGTAGTGAAATATTGGTGCTACTGTAACTTGAGATCTAGCAATAAAAACTGAAAGATTGTATGTGTGACACATGTATCCAATGTTGCTACTTAAAAAGGTACTTTTGGAGCATGTCAAAGCTCGGAAGTAGAAGTGAATGCACAAGCTACAGGTTTCCATCTCTCCATTTCTGATGCAACTTTCTGATTCATGTTCATCCTCTTTTCATCCGAGAACCCTTGGTCTAGACAATAATGAACTTAACATTCTGGTGATAACTAAATGGGCAGGTCCCCTTTCAGGAAGGTCTGTAACCAAGGCGATTGGTGATCACTTTTAAGAAAATTCTACCCACAGATCACATGTGTTTATTGTCCACTGATTCGTGAATAAAAATTGTAGTGGTTTACCGGTTTGTAATGGGCTGGCTGCTCTCTTACTGGGAGATAGAGGTCACTTTTATGAATGTGTGGGTGTGATTCCATTTTTCTGGACTGATATCTAAGGTCAGTTTTTAAGCACATAGGAAATAAGATACATAGCTGAAAATGATTCCAGAAATTTTATCATGATTTATTTTTGAAAACAGTAGACACCATATGAGCCATAAGGCTCATACATACTGCACTGAGAGCCCCTCAACACTAGATTCTAAGGGACAAAGTGCCCCTCAACAGTAGATTCTAAGGGACAAAGCCATCACACTGCAGTGGCTTAGATGACAGCGATGTATTGCATGTGTGCTCATCACCTCGGACAGTGACTGGGGGACAGGTGGTCTGACTGATGATGCTTTTGGGGATGTCATTAGTATGATATGAGAAGTTAACATTGCAATTTATTTTTGATGCTATAAAAGCTTAAAAACATATTATTAATTTAATTTTGTTAATTGGATTTTAACTTGCACGTTTGTTTTTGTTTTGTGTTTTTCTAAGAACTCTGATAAAATATAGCTTGTGCTATACTTTTACATATTTAATTGTAATAAAAGTATTTTTTTATTGGGTAAGAATAGTTTACTCTTAAAATAATAATGTATGTAAGATGAGTTTGGAAAAGTTTGGGCTGTACCTATATTTTTAATTTAGAGTCTAGATATTCACGTAGGTGATTTCTCAATTCAGGATTTTACTTCTCTTTCATCCCTTATCAAAGATACAGATAGGCTAAAAAAATAAAGTTCTGACCAATAATGATATGAGCTGAAGTAGTCAGTACTACATTATGAGAATGGTTTTTTTAGGTTCCTTATAGGTTAACCTAAAGTCAATTTCAGGAGAGTTTCACAAGTGATTAAATAGTAAAAGAATGTGTACACACACATGCATGCGTGCACACACACCTAGCTAGCCAGACAGATTGAGGTTTGGTATGAAGTTCTGGTCCCAGGAAAAAGACCTCATAACTGAGCAACATATTTAGACAAAGTATGGTGGTTAAATCACCTTTGTAGTTAATTTCAAACATGTGCTAAAGGCACCAAAATATTTTGACATCTTAGATTTTTTTTATATGGCTTATACTTCTTCATACGAAGATCACCAGTCTTTTCTAAGCATATCCATCTCTTCTTATGTCTCATGTCTGGAGACCCATGTACACTGCCCAGTCCCTGCTTCTGATGAGGCCATGTACGCCCGGTAGCTAGGATTGTGCCTGGCATGTCACGGGGACTAAATTAATTGTAGCCATTGTTTTTATTTTAATATAAACTTGGGTTCTTATGAAAATAAATAGTCAAGCAAAAGTAAATAGGGCCATATGCAGTTTCCTTCAGATTCTCCTATTTGAGTTTCACAAAAGGAAAGATCAATAGAAGCCAGAAGTTCTAGCCTTTTTCTGCTCTAGGGTTCCTTCCACACTACATGTCAACACTCAATGGCAGAAAACTCATCTCACCTGTGGAACCATTCCCAAAGCACACATTTCTAATTGCCTGCCATATTTTACCATTTTGTTAGAAATCTGACTCCCCAGAAATAACAGTTGGCTCTTATTTTGTCTTGGGCAACCTGAGAAAATATATTATTCTTCCTGTGTCAGCCCTCTGATTATTTGAAGGGAGAAACCATAAAGACTTAAGCTGATTACACTGAATGATTTCTCTATCTGCGGGTTTTGAGGCTCAAGTCATCATGGGTGCCCTTCCCATACAAGTTTTCAGCCTCTCTTTTAAGCAGAGGTGTTATCCAGAAATGGACAAACTGTTCAGAATGTGGTCTGACCACATTTGAGTGAAAAGGTTCATGTGTTCTATATTTTTTTTAATGCAAATTTAGATTGCATTTAGATTCTGGAACCTTTGGCATCAGGAAATAAAGGTGGTTTTAAAAAAACAGCTTCATTTAGTAAATGTTAGAGTGTCTTTATCTTAATTGATCATTGCAGAGAAGGAACTGATATGGCTTTGAACATTATATTTCTTCCTTTGCTTGATCATGGATTACACTGTGGCTCTTGGCAAAAGTGAAAATGTCGGTCTTCTGGAATCCATTCCATCCCACTCTTGCCCGTGTGGTCTTGCGCATGGCGAGCCCTCAGGTGAAACAGTCTGCTCCTTTCTCCCAGGTCATCTCGCTCTTCCTACGTGGATGAGGACTGTGACTCATTGGCCCTCTGTGACCCTATGCAGAGGATGAATTGTGAAGTTGACAGCCTGCCCGAGAGCTGCTTTGACAGCGGCTTGTCCACCCTGAGAGATCCCAATGAGTACGACTCGGAGGTGGAGTACAAACACCAGAGGGCATTTCAGAGGTCGCACGGCACACAGGAGAGCTTTGCGGGGGATGCTTCAGACACAGACGTAAGCCCCAGAAATCCCTGCTTTCCTAGGCCTTATCTTTTTAGAGATCTGTCACCCTGTTTGCCTTTGATCAGTCATGAGAATCCATTTTTCAAGGTCATAAATATGAAACATAGGCAGAATGTTTGTTTTCCCTCCACCAAAATGAGAAATTCTCATAGATTGCCATTTGGGGCCACTTTATTTCATAACAGCATTGACTAGAGATTTGACTGTATATTTTTCTTCTCTTTAATCTATGATGTAGTTGTGTAATGACTTTGTTTTTTTAACAGCTAACTTTTTTTTTGTTAACAGGTTCCTGATATAAAGGATGAAGAGATGTATGGTTCAGAAGGTGTGGCTTCCGTCTTAGACTGGAAGCCCCAGGGGTCTGGTAGTGAGGGCAGCCTTGCTGGTTTCTCAAGAAAGCCCATCTTGGCACTCTCACCTCAGGTAGGTGGTTTCTGAGATGCTTTCATTCGTGAACACAAATGATTTTCTGTACCATGTAACTTGTAGGAGAACTGGCACTCCATCTGTCACCCACCGTGGCTTTCCCCCCAGGCAGACGCAGTGGAAGACAGCAGACCATCCAGCTCACAGAAGGCTTACAAGATTGTGCTTGCTGGGGACGCCGCCGTGGGGAAGTCTAGTTTCCTCATGAGACTTTGCAAGAACGAATTCCGAGGAAATACAAGTGCCACCTTGGGTATGGTTCCCTTTTCAGATGTTAATGGGGACATGATCTTCTTTAGCTTGGTTTTATTTTTTCTGGGGATTATATACACAGATACATAGATCAGTCTCTCTGTGCATACATATATAGATGTATGTGTGTTTCCTTGTCTGTTGAATGGTCCTTTTCTCTTTTGTCTAAGGCCCAACTTTAGGAAAGGAAGACTGACAAAGGACAGAGGTAGCTATTTAGCCAGTGAGATGAACCATACTGAGGTTAGCGCCTGAGAGGACATTCACTCCTGTGTCCTGCTGTGAGCCAGATGCTGTTGTAGGCACTAAGGATACACACTGGACGGAGTTGACTACATTCCAGCCCATAAGGAACTTATATCCCAAAGGAAGGAAATAGATGTAAAACAAATACAAAAAATATGACGTTTAGGAAGAGGTGCACTTTTACACAAAGTGACCAGGGAAAGTTTTTCTGATGAGATGTCATTCGATGTTGGTAAAATGACATCACTGATGGGTAGGTTGTCACTGTGGTCAAAATCATAGCTAGATGTATGAGATACGTCTCGTCTGGAAAAAGTCCAGCCTTTGTTAATATGAAGGGAAGGGCTTGCATGACATAGTGTAACCTGGCAGTCAAGGAGAGTAGACTGGAATGCACATGCGTGAACAATGACTTTACTAGTCAGTGGGGGTGGTAGATACCATGGAGTGAACATGTATACTGCATAGCTATTGCATTAAAAATGACTGGGTGAGTAGAGCAATGAATCTACATCAAATTTTGCATTAAGCTTGAACATTCCTCTGTGGAAACTATTCAGATGATTCAGAAGGCTGTAGCTATGGGCAACTGGTGATTGGCAGATTTATCACAACAACACGCCTGCTCCTGCATCACATCTCCTGCAGAGTTTTCTGGTAAAGCATCAAATCACTCAGGTGACTCAGCCCCTCTACAGCCCAGATTTTGCACCCTGTGACTTCTTGCTTTTCCCAAAACTAAAATCACCTTTAAAACAAAAGAGATTTCAGACCATTGATGAGATTCAGGAAATACCACGGGGCAGCTGATGGTGATTGGGAGAACAATGTGAGGTCCCAAGGTGCCTACTTTGAAGGGGACTGAGGTGCCATTGTCCTGTGTACAATGTTTCTTGTATCTTGTATCTTCTTCAATGAATATCTCTATTTTTCATAGTACATGGCAGGGTACCTTCTGCACAGATCTCGTATGCTCCCTCCCTCCTTTACAGTGGAACAACAGTTCTACCTTTCAGAACAAGGAAAGAAGTAGTGTTCTGATTTCCCCAATTTGCATAACAATCAGTAAAAACAGTTGAGGCTATGCAAATTATTTTTTAAAATTTTTATTTATTTATTTATTTTTAAAAAGATTTTATTTATTTATTTTTAGAGAGGGAAGGGAGGGAAATAGAGAGAGAGAGAGTGCCGCATCAATGTGCGGTTGCTGGGGGTCATAGCCTGCAACCCAGGCATGTACCCTGACTGGGAATCGAACCTGCGACACTTTGGTTCGCAGCTTGCGCTCAATCCACTGAGCTATGCCAGCCAGGGTGCTATGCAAATTATTAATAATTATTTTTCTTTATCTAAATTGTTCTTATTTAGATAACCAAAAATGTTTTAAAAAAGATTGATTACACTCTTTGCTATGAGTGTCTTTGTAAATTTATGGTTCTTTGTTAGACTGTTCAAGATAACAAAGCTGAAAGTCCACTTCAATTTGATTTGTAAAAAGGTTACAATATCTGGTTCAGTTGCTAGAGAGCATGGCACATATACATATGTGGACGTATACATGGACGTATATACATATTTATGTATGTGTGCACATAGATATAACTGAGTTCATCTAGTTATGTGGGCAAATAGAACATAGATTTTTCCTTTGTCCATAGACTAAAACCTTCCCTAAGTCAGCCGACCTACTGACGGTGCATCTGTGTGCACTTGTGTGTTCTGGCTTATAATTAGTACGTGAAGGCCATATTCATTTTTCTCTGCCACGCTGGGCTCTTGGGCATACTGGCTTGACAGTGAAAGCCAGTAGAATTATTTACACCACATTCTCCATGTTCTCCTGTATTGCTTTTTAGGAGTCGACTTTCAGATGAAAACGCTCATTGTTGATGGAGAGCGAACAGTTCTGCAGCTCTGGGATACGGCCGGTCAGGAGAGGCAAGTGCTTTCCATAAAGCTCCAGGCTCTGCTTCGGCTTGCACAGACAAGCTTTGTAGCACACTTGGTGTGTTTTATGCTTATAATTATATAATTATAATGTGCCATATAGTTATGGTACGTTAGAATTTCAGGAATGCTTGCTTTCTCCTACTTCCTACCTCCTTCACTTATCTGTCAGTTGTGTGAGGAAAGGATCTTAAACTTCCACTGAGCTCATGTTCATCTGAGAGAAAGAGCATGCCCTCTCATAACAAGAACTCAGAGACCACACCTCTGAATGCGGTGACAGTGTGAGGAGCCACTAATTGGGGCCCAACAAAAGACAGAGAACAGAACCTGTCAGCTGCCCTTGGTTCAAACGCAGAGGCGGAAACTTTAAGTAGCAGACTCCCATCTGGTGACAGTACCTAGTCTCACAGTTATTGCCGACAACCAGAAGCACTGAGCACAGGTTTTAGTATTGTCTAACTCGTTGGGAGCAGAATGCATCTAGTTGTTCAACAAGCATGTATGGGGTGCCTACCTGCCTCTGTACTAGGCACCATTGAGGCTGCTAAGATTCGTCCGTGAATCTTTTCAATAGGACACAGCTACCTGCCCACATGGAGCTCATATTCTCTGGCAAACTGAGGGTTTCAACATTTAAAACATACTCGTGGCTGACACGGCCCTATGTTAGACAATGGAAAGGACTGCACTTGGTTTAGGTTAAGACATGTTTAACAGTGTGCTCTTCCCCTGGTGAATCCCCCAGCCTGTGGATGTGAAGCTTCGGGCGCATCGTTACGCCCCACACTGTTAGTCCTTCTCACACCCAGATTGTTTTTCTCTGATGCACATCCCCTTCCGTCTTTCTGTGTATCCGTCCCACTGAAGGGGTTTGGTAGGTTTTTGCCAAGGCTGGAATTTTCAGAAATTATGCTGTCAGCCTTGTCCTGGTTATGTTTTGGGGTTTGTAGACATTCTTGGGATGGTTTGGTGGAGAAAATGATTGGCTTTTAAAAATCAGTGGCCCAGATTTGCATCCCATTATGTTTCACTGGGTCGTTCTAGGCCTCAGAGATGGGTGTTTCACAGTGATGTGTGGCCGACAGGGTTTTCTCAAAAGGGGCTGATTTGAGAAGATGAGAGAAAAGTGAGCATAAAAGAGATGAATGAAGCAGCATCAAATGGACTGATTAGAACCATGACTTAAGTTCATTTCTCTTTTCCAGATTCAGAAGTATTGCCAAGTCCTACTTCAGAAAAGCAGATGGTGTTTTGCTGCTGTATGATGTTACATGTGAGAAAAGCTTCCTTGATGTACGAGAATGGGTAGATATGATAGAGGTAAGAAATCAAAATAGAGAAACAGGACATTACATGGGGAAGCTCTAGGCCGCCTTGGAAAATCAGGCTCTCGTCCTCATCGAAGGGAACGCGATGAGAACCCACTGATCCTGCAGTGTCACAAAGAGCTGGACGTTAGAGGAGGGGTTCCCAGTGGCACTCGGCAGTTCCGGTCCTTCTCCGTAGCTGGGCAAGTTCCCACAAGGTCAGGGACATGACTGAAGGGAGTGAGTAAAACTTCTGGGTTTTCTTATAGATAAAATCAGAACCCTACTGGAAGCAGGTGGAAATGCAGGTAACCTGAGAAGCAGCTGCACTCACAGAGGAGGCTGGGGTGGCTGGGTGGATAGTGTGGCTGCGTGTGAACAGGGACCTCCTCATGCACTGGAAGTGCAGGTGAAACGCCCCCTGGTGTGAGCACGTGCGAGGCCCAGATTCCATAGTGAGTGTGTGCTCAACATTGTTCTGGGAGTGACTTGGCTCTTCCTAAGTCCCGAGGCACCGCTGGAAAACTAATTGGTGTTTTAAATGTGTGTGATAACTATCTGTGCTTTCTTTTGATCAAATGAGATGGTGTCTTTCATCTAAGGAGCTTTCATGTCCTCTGGTTTCATCATAAATAATGTTCAAAAGTGGGAAATGATTTGACCACAGTTAGTGTGCTGCCAGCACTGATTAATCAATGTAAAACTATAGTTCAAGCTGTGGTTCAGCATACTCTCTCGAGGAAAAAAAACCCCTGAAACACTAGACTAATACAATTTTTCAAGTCTATTGTCTATAATTTTTAACAGGCATTAAGCACAGGGGTGGCTAAGCAGAGAACTTTTTACTACCTAACTGAAGACATCATGTGAGAAGTGACATTGTAATTGGCAAGAAAACTTAGTGATAAATAAATGTGCATTTTGTCCTACTGAAATATCATGACTTAAAATTATAAATACAGTGAAAATGTGTTGGCATTTACATAATACTTTTTCATAAGATTTTCCATGTTATATTCATCTCTGTAACATATCTGAAAAAGGAAGAAACATAGTGTCATTTTCATTTATTATGGGAACTCTGAGGCACAGAACGTACACTGGTGTATGGTTATCCAGAGGTTGGGGTTGGAGCAGGGGCTAGAATTGGACCTCCTGGTTCAGTGTGGTTGCTCCCTTGATAAAGCGTCAGAGTGAGCAGCAGATTATGAGAAGAAGCTTCTGAGGTCAGGAAAGGAATTCTGAGGCATGGTCCTTACATGGAGGAGCGGCATCTGCTCCCTTTAGTCGTGTCCTTGACCTTGTGGGAACTTGCCCAGCTACTGAGAAGGACCAGAACTTGCTCCCTGGGACAGAGCAGTGAGCCTAGAGTAATGGGTAGTCCCAGCTAACTGGTCCACATGGGTAGTTAAAAGTACAGCAAAACTTCATTGCTGAAACTGTTGGAAGTCATTTTCATTGTAAGTCCTTGGATTACGCTCAAGAAAAAGAAGCCTACAAGGCAAGGCTGCCGCAGGGTTGGAAGAGCGCTTAGTGACCCGCTGTAGCATGTGCTGGGGCCCACGACCGTAGTTCGCTGAGCGACCTGCGCAGGCTGAGACCTTTTCAGCTTGGTAGCGTCTTTCACAGGGTCTGAGGAGTAAGAAAACTGCATTCAAGGTGAATTATTGGATTTGATATAGAGAAAGAATCAGAGACCACTTGGCATTTAACTTTTGTATCAGACTGGAGAGCATTATGATAAGTGAAATAAGCCAGGCGGTGAAAGACAAATACTGTATGATCTCACCTTTAACGGGAACCTAATCAACAGAATGAACAAGCAAACAAAATATAACCAAAGACACTGAAATTGAGAACAGGCTGACAGTGACCTGAGGAGAGAGGGGAGGGAATTATAGGGGGAAAGGGTGAAGGGTTTGCAGGAACTAGTATAAGTATAAAGGATACATGGACAATAGCAAGGGGGGGGGCGTGGAAACGGGAGGGAGGTGGAGAGGGGGAGGGGGAAAAGGCAGAAAACTGTACTTGAACAACAATAAAAAATGTTAAAAAAAATAAAGACAAAAATACATAGGAAAAAAAAGAAAAGTAATGGGTGCGATGAACCTTTGCCATGACTTACCCTTTCCAGTTGGAGGAAATTCAGTGGGGACAGTTTATATGGCTGCTGTAAATGTGGGTAGAAACTAGTTTTGCTATCGTCAGGATGGGCCAGGGGATTGAGAAGAAGTAGAGTGTCAGTGGTGAATGGACCCTCTGAGTGAGTAGTTAATACACTTTGATCAAAAACCAATAGATGACAAAATCTTGTCATAAAATCATGGGTAAAATAAAACGATGGCCTTTTATTTATCTGTCATGAATAGTTTATTATTGAATATTTGGGTAAAAATTGGAGGGAGACACTTGAGACATGACACCTCATCCTGACTTTTGTCTGTTCAAAAACACTGGGCACCTCCCCCGTGCAGGTGCTGTTCGGGTGCTCAGGATGCGTCTGTTAATAAGGCAAGGAGCCCTGCCCTCGAGGAGCTTGTAGTTCAGTGAGGGTGACAGAACAAGAAGCAAACATAGATAAATGAAATAAGTAGAATGGTGGAGAGTGATAAATGTTACAGGAACAAAAAGGAGGCAGGAGGGAGGCCTGGCGGGGGTGGGGCGGGTGGAGGCAGTGGGCTGCAGCTGCCATCAGCGAGGTCGGGGCAGCCTCATGAGAAGGTTGTATTTGAGTCGAGACTTGATGGAGGTATTTACCTGTGTGACTTTGGGAAGTCACTTGGATGTCAGGATTCTTGGCTTACTTAAGTGCGTATTTGGTTAATGGCTTCCAAATGAGGTCCCTTGGATCCTGAGCTGAATGCTGAAGAACACAGTTAATTAACACATTAAGGGGTGGGTGGGGTAGGTTTGGAGAGGGCCTTTTGCTCCCTGTCCGCTCTGCTCTGAGCACACTCTGGGGCCTTCAGTTAGAAGAGAGTAGCCTGAAGAGAGGGGAGTCAAATATGAGTTCATGATTTCTAAGGCATGTTTCTTGGTCCTGTCTCGGGTATGGGACCAAACCGAATGAGCACCTGGGTGTCTTTAGGCACCGCAAAGAGTAACTGCCACGTGCCTTAGCCAGGACTGCTGTTTCTCTCATTTAGGACCCAGAGACCCATTTTTCTGGCCAGGCAGGGTATATTCTCTTACTCATCATAGCCCACTGAGGTGGGATGAGCCTTTTACTAACCGCTTCATTTTACACACAGGGATGTGGAGGCAAAAACAGGAGAAGACTTGCCTGATTTCCCACAGCCAGTGAGCGGTGGGAGGAGGTAGAGGTGGGGCCTCAAACTCAGATCTGCCTCTCACATCTTACATTTCAACCCAGCTCCTGCTGGGAGTGTGGGGCAGTGTGGCGGTTTGCATGTGCTGTTTTGGAAGCATTATCCTGAGAAGTTATTACTTTGAATAGAGTGATAATTGACGCCTCATAAGAAGAGTGTTGACTTTCAGGGCCTTCTTGCTTTGCTCTGTAAAGCAGAGATCAGCAAGTGGTCCCATTGTAGCTGAGGGACTTGTGTGTTTTGGATCTGGGATATGAAGTTGACTTGTAATCACTATTGTTCAGAGCAAAAGTTGTAGAAAATGATGTGGGCACTGCAGTTAAAAGTAATTCTGAGGTCATGCTTCTCAAATTCCTGTTGGTTTGTATGTATAGTGGGAAGGGGAATTTAGACCCTGGCCCTTACTAGTTTCTATTTGGAATCTTTGAATTTCAGTGTTCTCACCTGGCAGTGGGGAAACATTTGGCTCTTTTTAGAGATTTTGAGGTTTAAGGGTCTTATCCATATGTCAGGTGGCACGCAGGGGCATTTGGACATGGTGGCTGCTGTCATCATGGTGGTAACTTGTCCAATGTTTGATATGTGCACACTTTCTTTCTCTCCCTTGTGACAGGATGCAACCACAGAGAATATCCCGATCATGTTGGTGGGAAACAAAGCTGATCTTCGTGACACCGCTGCCTCGGAGGGACAGAAATGTGTCCCGGGATACTTTGGAGAAAAACTGGCCATGGTAAGAGTGAGAGTGGGTCCAGACTGGGAGACGTCTTTCGCCTTTGTCTACCTTTGCTTAGGAGGTTCTTTGATGGACCTGCATCCTGTTTGACGGGGATTCCGTCCTCGTGCAGGCAGAACTCCCAGCATCTCCCACTTGATGAGTATAAGTCATTGCACCATGGGTTAAATCCCTCATTGAGGTAAACTGGTCACTGGATCCTTTCCTCCCATTGACTATTGTTGACAGAGAGGAGCCAGAATTAGCATACCTTCCTCCTCACTCTCACCTGGTTCCCGGAATACTTCTCTGCCCCTGGAATCCAGGTAAAGGAAAAGAATGGGTGTCCTATTTTGAGAAGATGGGTTTGCATCCAGGGGGTTTCGATGCCTAGAGGCTGGAAATGGTGTATGGTGTCACCTGGTTGAAAAATAATAGGGAAACTTTTTTCCTGTAAGATGTGTATTTAGTTGGAATAGATAGTCTGTACTTATTTTTGGCTTGCATCTGTGTAGAGGATGTAGCTCACTCCTGTCCAAATGATGCCTGTGGGCCATGTTCATCCTCCCGTTGTCATCACTGTGCCAGAATGCTATGTGGCCCTCCTCTGGCTTGTCCTACCCTACATGGAATCAGATGCACCTTGGGTCAGATGACAGGTTCCTACCGAACCTTATGTGACATTGGTCTCAATGTCGTCTGTTGTCAGCACCATGAAAGGACTTCTCTGCAGCACATCCACATGCCCTTTAAAAAGAAGTTTGAATTTTGTTCTTCTGAGTTGGGGGATCCTTCTTGTTTTAAGTTGTAGAACTGTGAACCAAATGTAAACATCAAAACGAGGCAGTGATGCAGAAGAGGTTCATTCAGCCCATATTTGATTGTCTCCACCACGTGACAAGCACTTCACTGTGTGCTGAGCAAAGACTAGACAGAGAACAAAACACACAGTCGTTGCCCTCCCACGTTTACTGCCTGGGGGAGACAGACGTTCCTTGCACGTGATCACATGTCAAACTCGGTCCCATGTGCCACTTTAGAGACCTCACAGTGGCCATCTGCATGCCGGTTTCTTCTGTCCCCAGTTTCTCAGATTCCAAGGTTGGCTTGCTTGTGCCTCCCATCGCTTACACCCTCCTGGGTCCTTGGAGGCATTCTCTGTCTCACCCTGTAACATCCTGGCTGCAGAACTCAGCAGCAGCACTACTTGTTTCTACTAGAAACCCATCCACATTGTGAGTTTTTATAGATGTGTCTGTGGGCTCGGGGGCTTGTGGGAACAGGTCCCACAGTGGAGTTTCCTCCACTCTTTGGTTCCTCTCCCTCCTTGCCACAGAGCAGCCGTCACATCCTCCCCCTTTCCCACCCAGGACTGTGAGACCCTATGCAGGCCACAGCACACACCCTTCTTTTTTCCTAAGGGACATTTTCTGCACTTTGGTGGACTAAGATGCACTATAATTTCATCAGTTACAATTGTGGCAAGTGCTGTGCAGGAGCACAGTCAGCTCTGAGGTTTTATAATAGGGAGACCTAATAGGAACTTTTCAGGGCTAAAAAACAATCTTCAAGAGAGGATTACTTAAGATCCTAAAGGTAGGTAGGAGTCAGTCTGGAGAAGAGGGTCAATGATGTAGCTAATGGGAACCCCAGGTGCAAATACTCTGAGATGAGAGGGACTTTGGGGCATTGGGGAAATAGAGGAAGTGTTGTGAGTGAGATCATGGTGGCAGGTGAAGCTGGGAGGTTGGCTGGGGCCACGTAGAGGCTGCTAGGTCTCGTTGGGCATTGTAAAGCATTTGAACATTACATGAAGTAGAATGGGAGGCACCGAAAGGTTTGAAGCAGGAGGGTGATATGATCAATGGTCGTACGTATAACCACTGGAAAGTGGACCGATGGAGGACTAGAAAATGTCCATTGGTTTCAGCAACATGCAGGCTGCTGAATCGTGATAGGAAATGATCGTGTGTTAGCTGCTGGCCAAAGGGAGATGCACTTTTGATGGACTTTAAATTCCTGAGTGATTATCTTAAGCTATCATTTCTATTTCTCTCAAATGATTTGATAGCAAATGTTGTGTAGGATGTGTGTGACTATAGAAAATAAGCACCTTAAAGCTTGAAATTTTGTACTGTGGGTTTTTTAGTGCAAACTAGAAGCTACCCTGACTAGGAATGGTTTCTGGAAGAAAGATGCTGTTTAATTATTGAAACTCTGAATCCAGTTTCTTAGCTACTGGTCACTCTTAGTGTACTCAATAGGAAAAATATTTTTATTTTATTTACTGATTTATAAGCCAAAATTTTAGGAAACTTAAACAAAAACTTTGTTTAATAGTGTACATTTCCTTCTTCAGACCTATGGGGCTTTATTCTGTGAAACAAGTGCCAAGGATGGTTCGAATGTAGTGGAAGCTGTTCTCCATCTCGCCCGGTAAGGTTTGGTCTCTTATTTTGAAAACTGGGTGTAAGACTGAATTTCCATTGAGTTGGTGTGCATGTCAGACTTCACCGTAACATGACTGTGCGTTGGCAAGCACTGTCTCCCCTTTCAGCAGTGGTTAGGGAAACAGACATAGATTTTATAAAAGCTGGTAGTGCTGTATGTTCCCTGTGAACATTGGCAAAATACCTTTACTGCCAAACAAAGCCGGTGCGTCTGAGGCGCCATTGACATTTCTGCAGAATGTCGCCGCAACGCTGACAGTTGGCTTTTATGAATCATTTCCAGGAACCAGACTTTAAACACAAGAGACTATTATGAATGTAGCTATTATGACATTTTCCAGTTAAAGGAAAGAGTGCCTCAGTAAAGCAAATTGTGTATCATGCCAGTTGGAAGCACTTGATTAAATTTATCACACAGGTAATTATCCAGCTAAGGCAGTGGTGTTAATAATAAATAACATTTTGTGATGTAGATTAGAATAAAATATTGCATTCTTGAGGAACTTGGGTATAAATGTGTGTTTTAATCCTTAGAGTACTCTTGGGAAATAACAGCATTGTCTGTTATAATTACTTCTCCTGCCTAGTTTTCTGCCACAAATAAAAAGATGATTCTTTACTGGTCTAAAGGAATTGAATATACAAGAAAAAATAAAAACAAAACAAAACAAAATATGTGCCAACAAAATCCAGGCCAGTGATCTTTAATTGCTAACAAAGGAAAAATGTAATTTTAGGTATATAGTGCTTTTCCTGATCACTTATGAGGTTTTCAGGAATCTTAACTTTAGTATGATAATTGGCCTCTTCTGCTAGTATACACTGACAGTTATAATACTTTGCATTGTTTTAAATTCTGATTTTCTATTAACGACTTGATGTTTATACTGCTTCCTAGAATAGAATTCCTTTAATAGAAGGCTTGGACGGGACCCTGAGAGAACCAGGAAACAGGCCCCGGGACCTTACATGCCTGCTTAGAATGAGTTTGTGTCTGGGCTTGGAAGATGCCTTGAGCTTGAACTCTGAGTCTTTGAACATTATCTCCTTTGACATCAGTCCAAAAGAGAGATCCACCTGCTCCCACCACACTGGAAATCTGGAAATCATTTTTGTTTAAAGCAAAAACAGTGCTAACTTTGATTATGACCTAGAACAGGTAGAAAAAGGGCCAACAAACATTTAAGTGTATACATTCAAGTGAATTATGTGTTTTTTGCTTCTGATTAGTAGGAGAATCATGGGCTAATGTCACATTGGTCAAGAGCTAAAAGAAAACCTTCATAAATTAGGTGAAATAATGGATCTCATGCACCTTTGGGTGCACAGCCATTTTGGTCAAACAGGATACATTTAGTAAATGGCGAGGGGAATGGGGGATATTCCATAATATGAGCTAAAGATTGAGTAATTGCTGAGCTGGTAGGTGTTTTCCTTTTTTTTTTTTTTTTGGATGGTGTTTCATTAGAATGTACGTGAGAATTCCTGGATGGAGATGATGTGCCCATTGAAGCAGATGGGTGTTCAGAGAGGGTCTTCAGAGCGTGGCTGGGCACAGGGCTGGCCAGGCGCTCAGTGCTGCGTTCGCCTCAGGCAGTGTGGTGCCCAGTGGCTGCTCTGTCTGAGCAGGAGAGGATGCTGCTGAGTGGGGTCTCTGTGTGGCTGTTGGCTGTTGGCTGCTGCCCAGTGTGTTAGAGGATTGTTGTGTCAGAGGCTCAAAGTGTAGCCTTAAATCTATCCTTGAACAGCTGTGAGATCCTGAACAAGTCCCCGTCTTTCATCCTGTAGGCATCTCTGATCTGTAAAATTAAGGGAGAAGACTGAAGAGAATGATCTCTCAGGTCCTTTCTGGTTTTGACAGTCTGTGATTCTATATACAGTAGCCTACACTCCACTGAGTAATACAATCGCTGTGTAATGCTGCCTTGTCTGGTAGGGTCATATTAAAGTTAAATGACTCCAAATTGCTGTGGTCACACCCAGAGTGCAGAATCGGTTTTTTTTTATTATATCATAAAGATGGGAGAGGCTGTAAGCCATCTGTCCCCATTTGTTCCTTCAGCTCTGTTTATGGTGTAGCTCCCACAGCAGGCTGGGTTTACTTAAAGTGCGTGTGCACACGGGCATCTCAATAACAGGGGGTACTTCTTGTGAATTCCTTATCCAGGAGTTCCTTATTCCTTTATTCTGTTGTTGTTATTGCATTATAGCCTGGTTTGAGGCCTCTAGGTCAGTAATTAGTGTTAAATATGAAAATTATACAGAAGGCAAGTATGTAGACTTGCATTTGCCTTATACTCTGCCTTCAGATTTGCTTGTCAAAGTACCTAAGTCTTAAATAGAAATGGTATAGACTCCACAGGTTAAATTAATATTTAAGAAGTTTTCCACCCTTCAGAATATTATTTAGAATGCAAAACGTGGATGTCTTGATTTAGAGCTCATGGGACAATCCCCAGCACAGTCCCTGGCACACCACGTCATGTCGTAGAGCGTGGACTGGGTGGGTTTATGGATTTGCACTGTCTGAAGGGTTCGTTTTCAGAGGGAGGCCAAAAATGTTTGGTTGACAACATGACGTACTCTGCCTTTTCTCAGAAAACCTCTCGATCCCAGGAAAAGTTTCTCGTAGAAATGCAATTTTGCAATATCCCTGTATTCCTGGTAGGACATCCACACGACCATTGTCCTTTGGTAAGTAAATTTGCCATTAACAGAACCGCAGGCTTTAAACTTTTTTCAGTCTGTTCAAATGCCACAGGCACTTAATTGATCAATGGCCTGAAATTTGAAAATCATACAAGAAGCTCAGGCTGACGTCTCCGTTCAGCACAGTTGCTGAGCCCTTTGTGCGTAAATGTGTTTCCAAGACTGAGCCATTTAAAATGTGGTTGTTCAGCACATGGTAGTTTTGGGTGAAGTAATTTAATTTTCCCAGCCTTAAACCTGTTTTAGATGTTTGGAATCATAATCTTTCTAATTTCCTGGAAGTGAGACACACCTTTATTTTTGGCGAGTTCAAGAAACTGAAGGCCAGATGAACAATGTGGGCACCTACTTTTCTCCCTTCCTGTTTGCTTCAAGTTTGCTAACGCCTGTGTTGTTATGAGCCTGTGAAGGCCCCATACATGGTTCAGTAGAGGTATCAAGGGAAAAAGGCAGGCTGTACAATTTAACATTAGAGGGGGAAAAAGGAAAACATATGACCAGGCAGCCATATACTCTGTAGGTGATAGAGACCAGTGCACCTCCCAGAAAGGAGAGATATGAGTTGTCTTGTGAGGATGCTAGGATCATTGTACCCATTGTAGAGATTAAAAAAATGGAGAATTTGAATGCTTAGTCTTGCTCACAGTGACCCAATTGGGACTTTTCATGACTAATCTGAATCACTGGCTTGCCACTAAAAGGTTAATAATTTTAGGATTCTATTCTTCACTCTCTTTCTCTTTACTCTGTCTCTCTCTGCCTAATGCCTTCCATCCCCATGGTATCTAGAACTGTCTCTAGCCAGTGACTTCTGGTTTCTGTATTTTTAACCTCCACCTCTTTTTAAAATTCCATAACCATACTCCCACCCAACAACTAGAAATTCCATAGGCATGACTGACCCAAATTATCCAAATCCTAATGTGTTAATTTTTCTTTAAAATTATTCCTCATTCTCAGGAAACTACCAAAGTTATAATTAAAAAAGAATAACCTAGAGTCAATCTTGACCCCTTTCTCTCTTCCTTTATCATCTATCTGTAGTGGGTCCTGGGGCCCTGTTGATCTCTCTGTACTCTTTCTTGAAACCATCCATGTTTTTATTCACTCATTTATTCATTCATACCCATTCCATCTATATGTCTGTCTGTCTGTCTGTCTATCTATCTATCTATCTATTCAGCCCTGAAAATTTCCTGCCTGGGAATTTCTTACCTGGGTTTAGTGCAGGAGGCATCTAAGGTTCTGCCTCAGCATTTCTTCGACATCAGTTCATTCTCCACCCTACAGTCAGGATAATATTTATACGTAGAAGTCCAGTGAATACTTTCTTACTAGCAACCCCACATAGCTGTCCTACCAACAGCATAGAGTCCAAATTCCTTAGCAAGTGGCTTAGTTTCTCACAGTCTACACCTCACCTACCTTTCTGATTATGTCTTATCTTGACATATAATTATCATTCCCAAATGAATGATAATCTATAGACACAGCAAACTTTGTTTCCTGTCATGGCCAAGCTCTTTTATTCATTCCTCTTGGCCTTTGTGTGTGCTGCTCCCGGCACCTGGAATGTCCTTTCCTCATTGACCAAAGGTGAATTCCTAGTCTGTCAAGAGGTCCCTCTGCTGTCAGTCTCCAGCAAGCTCCGTCTCCCGGAGGCCTTCCTCCCCTGCACCCAGCCCCTTGTGGTGCACCCTCTGTGTGCCTGCGGAGCACTGTGCGCGTGTGAAGCAGCTCTCTTGGGACCTGGTGATGATTTATCTAGATCTGTGGCTGTCTCTCAAGGCTCACTGATGGAGGATCCCTGAGCTTGGCATAACTTTGACATTTTATCAAATGACCAAATGACCACATTTTTAAGTTGTATTCATTTTCTATTGTCCCTGTCACAAATTCCCAATAACCTAGAGGTTTAAGCAACAAAAATTTACTGTCTTACAGTCCTGGAGGTCGGAAGTCTGAAAGGAGTTTAACCAGGTGTTAGGGGTGGAATTGCTGATCCCGTCCTTGCCTGAGTCTTTGTTCCCTCGTCCGTGCAGTGAGGATAGTAACGCTCACCTGTCAGGCTGCGTGTCCCTGTACGTGGTGTGTATTAAATAAGGAAGCATACAGCACAGCACTTAGTAGTGGCATTCAGCAAGAATTCGTTTACCTTTTTTCCTTCTCACAGTGCAGTGGTTTTCAAAAGTTGGCACCTTCTAGACCTGTGCTGACCAATTCAGTAGCCACTGGCCACCTGAAGTGTGTCCAGTTCAAATTCACATATGCTGTGTGTATTGAAGAAATACTGGATTTTGAAGATGGTATAAAGAGTATGAAGTACCTCATTAATATTTTTATAGATAACATGCTGAATTGATAATATTTGTGTCCTGCTAAGTAAAATACATTACAAACTTAATTTTACCTGTTTCTCTTTACATTTTTTTTAGCATGGCTACTAACAATTTAAAATTACATATGTGGATTACATTATATTTCTGTTGAACAGTATTGCTTTGCTGGGCATTATCGATTCCCAGTATCCACCACACAGTAATAAACCACCTCAAAACTTAGTCACCTAACACCACAACCACTTTTATTTTTGGAAATTACCAGAATTGGTGGGATATCAGCTGGAAGGTTCCTCAACTGCCCTCATTCGGGGTGTCACCTGCGTTTGTAGTCAGATGGCCACCGAGCTGTCTCAGGCCTGATGTCTGCCACCGGGGTGTCTTCCTGTGTCCTCTTCTCCCCCCAGACCCCTCTGCAGGCCTCACTCCACTGAGGGACCCTGGACTTCCTAAACGGCAGCTCGAAGAGGCCAGGCCTTGTTACCACCTGGCTTCGAAGTCACAGCACACCACTTCCTTGGCATTCCGTGGGTCAGAGCCGTCCTGACCATGGGAGAGAGGCAATGGGGGAGTGCCAGGCACTGACAGGGAAGGGCAGATTGTTTGGGGATGTCTTGGGGACTAGCTGGCACACTCACCTTACCCACGGAGATCGTCCTTCAGCTCATCTAAGGCGGGCCTTAAGGATCTGCATATCTTACAAGCATCCCCAGTGGCTGCACTTAGAAGGCCCCCTCCCTAGGGGGTTTTATAGGATCATGGAGACCTTTTGTCAGTGTTTGCTCTAATGGTTCATTCTAACAGGAATTTAGGAAGACACAAAAGGAAGATTGTTTTTATTGGATTTGAACCATCCATTGTTATCTCCATGATCATGTATAGTTCAAGAATGGTTTTAAAGTCATCATTGCTTTTGTTATTGTAAGCAAGTATCAGCTGGGGATGTGGGCCAGGTTGCGGGCTGTTAAGAAGCAGGCTGTGCGTGTGGTGGACTGTATAGCATGTGAAACCACAGGAGAGAGCAAGAGGGGTCTGCACATGTGTACACGTGTGTGCACCTGTGCATGTGGGCCTATGCATGCATGTGTGTGTGTGCGTGTGTGGGAACCTGTGGCCTGGTGCTCAGACTGTAGGTGCTGGAGCCAGCCTGCAGGGTTTGAATCCCGGCTCTGCCACTTCTCCGGCTGTGTGACCTAAGGGGACTGCTCATATGTAAAATGTAAAATGGGGCACCACACATTCATACGGTTCCTGGGAAGATTAAATAAGTCAACGCCTGTATAAAGCATTTAGACCACGTCTGGATGGCACACAGCGCGTGCTCAGCAGTGCAGTTTTCATTTCTGTAGAGCCATGGTGGAATAGTTTTGTTCCCCAGTAATGCCCTCTCTGTCTCTTCCTCCGCTTTGACCTCTGCCTCTACCTCTCTCTCTCTCCAGGGAAGTGAAGAAAAGAACTGATGAGGATGACAGCAAATCTGTCACCAACCTGACTGGAAGCAGTTTCAAACAGTCAACCCACATGAAGAATTGTTGCAAGGGGTAAGCCCGAACCCCGTGGCCTACGAAGTCTTCATTTCCAGAGCCCAGAAGCCGTGGGACTAGTGTGTGTGGCCTGCGGACACTGTCACACGGAGAGTTGCCGTGTGGGAAGTCTGGACTGTGTGTGTTCCTGGTCCCTCCGCAACCTCGGCTCTTCTTTGCTGCGTTTCCTTGAACAGTTCGGGCTCCCTGGTTAAATATACTTGTCTTGTCCTAACAGAGACTTAAAGATAACGTGTAAATGTGTTTAAGTGCTAAAAAATCACATGCTCAGATCAAAGCTGTAGAAAGAAACTCTCGGACATAATTAGATTCATGTGGTAGCTGATATAACCTGTGGCCACATGTCTTATGAATAGTCAACACTAGAGTACTAGTAAACGAGGGTTATTGCTGTAGCTTTGCTGTTAGCTAGGCTTGTGGCCTCAGACATGTCCTTGCTGGCCTTGGCCTTGGCCCTTGCTCACATCCTGTAGCACATTTTTTTTAGCAGTGGGAGGGAGAGTGCAATAGCTCACAATTAATAAAGACTCGGGTTGTTTGTACTTTTAAAATATTGGAGTATCGACTTTTCTCACTTCTGAAACAAGAACAGAATTTAACTGAGAAAAATTATAATTTTCAGGCTTTGGTGGAGACAGAAAAATCTATTTTTCTATGCATGGAGAAGAAAACATTTTTGTGACAATAACCGTTCTGTATCAAAGAGGGTATTTTATAAGCTCAGAATACTTACAAAGTCCATGGGTTAAATCCAGTGTTAAAAATTCTAATAAAAACATATAAAATCACATACTATTGAAAGAACAAAGCCCAGGAAAGTTGTCACTCTTCACTTAAAAAAATACACCTGTGAGTGGTTGCCAGGAACTGGGCAAAGGGAGGAGCTGAGGGTGAGTGGCTGCTAATGGGCATGTGACATCCTTTGGGGGTGATGAGAATGTTCTGGGATTACATTGTGGAGTTAATGGTTGCACAACTTTGTGAGTACACTAAAAGCCACTGAATTGTACACTTTAAAAGGGTGAATTTTATGATATGTGAATTATATCTCATTAAGAAAGACATTAGTCTTTAGAACTATTTAACATTTTTGCCAAGTGAGAATAGGTATGCATACTTATTTCAAACTTCCCCAGGGTTTAAAAGCATAATCTCCAATATAATGCAAATCCCTTCACTCCTTACCTGCCAGCATTCGCTTCCTTCAGTAATGGACTTCATTAAAGAAGTTATTATGCATGGTTTTTGGACACGTCATCTCTTTAACAGAGGAGGCGTGGTTAGGAAAGGAGTCAGAGTCCTTTGATTAATGTGACTAGTGACTCATCCTCTCCAAGGACCTGGAAGGTCTTGCTCTCCTTCTGGAACCTGCAATACCTCCCATATTTCCCCACTGAAGTGTCTCTAAGAACCAAAGGGGTCAATATCTGACCCGGGGTTAGGTCAGCAATGCTGGGTGTTTGGTTTTTGGTTTTCAGTTTTCAGTGGCCTGAACCAATGAAGTTATTCCCAACCAGGGATCTGAACTTACTTGGTTCATATAGGTCAAGGCCCCAAGTAGTTTGTTGAAAAAAACTGAAATGATAGCTTTTTATATATAAGCTAAACACATTCCTTTTTATTGAATTAAAACAGTTCGTTGTAGCAATTCTTCTCTTGTTTATGACTTTTATGATCAAACCATGCTTCATTTTTATTTTATTGGAAGCTGACAAGGTACATCACCCACACTGATTGTAGGTAGCCACGGCATCACTTAGCTTTGAAAGCTTGCTTCCTCTCTCTTGACGACATCTTGTTTTTTTGTTTTTCCTGGAAAGCTGGATCTGTCCATCACAACTGCACCATGGATTCCTGTCTCCTCTTTCACGGTTTTTGGTAGTTAAAAATTATGAAAAAAAAATTATGTGTTTGATCAAAAACAATGTCTTGTTTGTGGGTGGCAGAGGGAGAGGTGTTATTTTGGGGGTGTATGAGATGGAAGTCCTGCCTCTGCTGCCTGCCTGGGTGACGTCTGTGGAGCCAGGTTCGAAGGCACCTGACACGCGTGTCACGTGGGACTCACGGTCAGGTGTTTGGTGGAGTTGCACAAAACTGTGTGAGTACGTGCTGTCACGTCGCCTTTCTCTTCCCCCATAGTGTCTCTCTATGTTTTACCGTCTGTACCTGTGAGCATGCCTTTGATGCAGAAGTATTACCTGGGCCAGCACATCCACAGTGTTTAGATTACGCAGGCGCCTTTGATGGACAAAGCAGTCATTTTTAACTGCTCAAACATGGATAAATATTTTGGGAACAAAATCCAAATTAGATGCTTATAGCTCTGGGTAGCAATCTTGTTTAAAGAAAAGCTACTTACAGCTCTTTCAGCCGCATTGCTAACAAATTGTGATTATTATCAACATTTGATTTCATGAAGGTGTTCTCAAATTGAAAGCATATTTTCATTAAGAACAAAAATACAGTCATGCCCTGCCGAAGGACTGGGGTACGTTCTGAGAAGTGCTTTGTTAGGCAGTTTTGTTGTGCAAACATCACAGAGTGCACTTCCACGAACCTGGGGGGTGTAGCCCACCACACACTCAGGCCATATGGTATGGCCTGTTGTTCGAGACTACAAACCCATACAGCATGTTGCTGTACTGAATACTGTAGGCAGTTGTAACTCAGTGGTAAATATTTGTGCATCTAAACAGAAAAGGTACAGTACAAATACAGTATACAAGATGAAGTGTGTGTGCCTGTGTGCAGGAGTCGGGAGACCAGTTGGGGGCGGGTTGTGGAGGGAGGTGCTGTCAGAGGGAGAATAGACATCAGAAGGAAGGAGGGAAGAAGGCAGAGAGGGAAGAAAGACAAAGGGAGAGGAAGGGAAAGTGGAGATGGAAAGAGGCCTGCAGAGATAAGGCTGGAGAGAGATACAATAAACGGGAGAGGGGGAAGAGGGCTGGGGTGCCTAGACTGCTAGACTGGTAGGGAAGAGAAACAGGAGGGAAGCTGAGTTTGCGCACAGAAGTGTGTGTGTGTGTGTGTGCGCACACGTGTGGCTAGCACACTCAGCCTCTCTGCCTACTTAAACCACTCAGGGCAGTAGATTCAACATCTAAGTCGGTCCAACCTTTTCTTTCAACATTGTGAACAAACTTTTTGCTTGTGATCCATTCTAATCTTATGGGACCACCGTTTGAATTTTTGGTCTGTTCTCAGGTGTGGCACATGACTGTATTTCATGGTTTTAACTTAGATTAATTTGATACCTTTCCATAGTTCTATGCAAGTAACTCATCTTGTCTGAATTTTGCCTTCGAGAGCTTTTAAAATCACAATTATGCTATGCTCCTTTTTTATGTATCCTGACACATTGGATAATATTTTAATTTCATTATAGAAAAGAATGTTGGATAAGTAGATGTTTTTTACTGTTAACTTTTAGCCTAATACATTTTCATAATTTATTTTTTCTACTTGCTGCTTTGTATGACATATGTGACATTTGATTATTTAATACAAAATATGATTTTTATAAACTCAAGTCATATATCTCTCTTGCTGAAGATAGAATTGAGGTTAAAGATAAAGATTTATTTTCATATTTGTACCGAGATCAGTTTCAGAGTGATCGTTTTTTGGGGGGGGGTTATTGTATATATGTGTTAGAAATTTCATATATATATATATATATATATATGAAATTTATGAAGTAGGCCTCTGAGTATAAAATAATTATTTTATGATTTTGATTTATATGGTTTATATTTCTATAGTATCAACCATATTTCATTTATACTGTTTATTTCTTTTCAAACCATTAATAATTAAACCATAAAGTATAATTTTTATAGCCATGCTAATGTCCAGGGAACAACAAATACTTTCTGCATTGTACGTTAAGTAGGCTTCCTTTGCCCTTAGGGGCATTTCCTTCGACTATGCTGCAGGCATCCCTGAAGTGATTTTCTTTTTTTAAAGGTTTTATTTATTTACTTTTAGAGAGAAGGGAAGAGAGGGAGAGAAACATCAATGTGTGGTTGCCTCTTGTGTGTCCTCTACTGGGGATCTGGCCCACAGCCCAGGCATGTGCCCTGACTGGGAATCGAACTGGGGACCCTCTGCTTTGCAGTCCGGCTCTCAATCCACTGAGCCATACCAGGCAGGGCCCCCTGAAGTGATTTTAATTCTAGGAGGTGCATAGGTGAAACCGGGCCTCTGAAGCACTTGTCCTGTGGCCTGGACAGATGGCTGGTGGGAGACAAAAATACACAGGTGGTGGCTGGTGCCATGGCACTCCAGGTCATCTTGGCCAATGTGGCAGCCAAGTTCAGAGTGTGGTGGCCAGGAATAATGAGGCTTTGGTAGAAAAATTTCAGGATGAGCCCTGGCCATCCCCATGATCTCAGGGGTTAATCTTTCTCTCTGACTCCCATCTTTCTCCCTCTGCACCCCCTACACTTTACCATCTCAAGATTATTAATCATATCTGCCAACTCCTTTTACCATTAAGGAAACATATTTCAGATTCTGTGAATTGGTACTTTGGCAGGTCATTATTCTGTGTACTGCAACATCCACAATAATTTTGTACCATTTCCTTTTCTCAATTTCCAAGTTATTAGATGATCTAAATTTTAAAAAGGAACAATTCTTTACTCTTTACTAGTTCACTTTTTAATTTTTTAATTTTGAAATCCTAAATAAGTATACAACCAAAATTTTCATTTTTTTGTCTATATGAAGTATACTGATGAATTTTAAAATTTCTTAAATGCTCTTTGAGAACCAGAAATAGGCATTTATCATGTCAAATATTAAGTTTAACTAAACGACCACAGCCTGACATAGGGTTGACCAATTAAACATTTATACAGCACTGACTAGGGAAAGTGCTCACTGAAAGGCTGGGCAGAAAGAATCAAAAGCATGCTTCCTGTTCCTGAAGAACGTATCATTTAGTTGACAGGATCACAAAAGAAGTCATGTCCTCAGCAACTGGAGAAAAGGGAGCCACCGATAAATTCTGGCTGCGTGGTAACGGGAACAATGCGCACTCTCACAGGTTTCCCCCCCAGCCACTGGATTAATGTGTACCCAGTGCGTCTTATCTCTTGGAGGCTGTGCAAGTGGTTGTAAACAGATATGGTCCTTGGAGCAGTTTATAACTCATGAGATTACAGACTTGATGGGACTTCAGTGGGAGCACTGAGCAAGCACACAGATGAATTGCTAAACATACACATGGGCATGTACAGCTGACCCTGTGCTGATAGTCTGTTGTAACGGGTGCTAGATATCCACCACAGAGCCCCGTAGAGCATCAGCCAGACGTGCGGTCAGCTCAGATTCAGGCAGGGCACAGAGAGGATATACATTTCTTATTTTGGACAGGAAAATGAGTATTTCCTAAATGTTTACTGTGCCCTTTAAGCTTCCTACGGATCTCATGTTGTTCTTGCAATAACATTCCTGTTTTAACAGATGAGGAAACAGGCTTAAGTCTGAACTGCTTCAGGGCCTAAATAGCAGAGCTGGGATTCAAACTGAGGTCTCTTTGAATCTTTCCACTATATATAGCACCCTGCTTCAGACAATGTATGTCTTAAAGATACCCAAATTTATTAAGTCTAAGTGGTTTTGGAGAAGAATATCTTAAGACTTAATGATTATAATGAATACCTAAAAAGAAATCACAGGAAATGTGTTTTGTTTCTGTTGTCTTGACTCACTGAGCTGACTTGCCTGGAAGAGGGATAATATGGTAATGTGGCTACTGTTCTGAATCAAATTCAAGACAGCCTTCTGATGGGCTTCTT